TAATTTTTTTTAACTTGACCCCCTTTCTTATATAATTTTTTATCGATTATGTGTATATACATATATATATATATATATTTAATTTTGATTTATTTAATCTTGATTACTTTACATATTATTTTAAAAATCCTTTTATAGAAAGCATAAAATCTAAAGCATAATATTATAAATAATTGCAATGCTGTCATCGCATCCCAATTTTTTTTAATCTAAAAAATAAGCTTATTAGATCTTAAAAAATTGGTTCGAGAATGATAATGTTGTTTATGGAATTATATACACTCCCAACTTGCAATATCAGCACGTGTTTGTTTGCCCAAGCTAAAGGCAAATTAGTCAATATCAATTTTGCCTTAATTTGCAACATCAGCCAGATAATGAAATTATATAACCTCATTTATTAATTTATAAAACTTATTCACTATGAAATGTTTTTTTTTATTTAAAATATAATAAATTCGTTAAAATTTAATATAATTTAATTACTGTAACTTCACTAATATACTATCTAAATAAGTATCTAATAATAATAATTTAAGTATTATAAGTAAATCACTTTCAAATAATTTGCATTTGAATATTATTTGTTTGCTTAATGATATGAAGTAATGTTCCAAACAAAGATTTATAATTTAAGAATATTCATTTGCTTAATGATATGAAGTAATGTTCCATACAAAGATTTATAATTTAAGAGAATATTTAAAATTATTTATTTGATGTTCATAATTAAGCGCACATTTTATACAATTTATTCTAATGTACTCAGATTAGTAATATATATGTATATATATATATATATATATATATATAAAATGTCTATTAGGTTTTAATAAGAAACTTTGAGCTGAAAAATATACAACTCTACCACTTATTTGATTTTATTTTCTGATTGTTAAAAATATTAAGTGAAATTTTTATTTGCTTCTGTTATTATAATATATATTTATTTCTTTAAAACTTTGAGTTTTTACATTTTTAACTCGTTATTACTATTCTAATTAAGGGAATTTAACATTTTTATAATCTTTATTTTGCCAAAAATTG